CTTCTAAAAATTAAAATTAATAGTAGTTTTATAAATTAATATAAATTAAATAAATTAATATAATATAAAAATACCTTCAAGTATTTTTAATTCACTAATAATAGGAAACATAAAACTATTAAAATCTTTAGAACTTTTTGGCTCAAGAATTATTACTGAAATTAATAGATTTTCTCATTTAACTTGATCTTCTAGTAGTATATTATTATTAATAAATATAACCACCTAATTATCATCTTGTTGTTAGTGAAAAATTTGATAACTATCTAAACTTCTAGTTAAAATTATATCTCACTTATTTTTTATTATATTATTATTTAATAAACTTTTATATAATTGTCTATCAAAAATATCACTAATTTTGTTAGAGCTAAACTTATAATTTGAATGATATCTAAAAATTTTTGATTGTTTAGAATTAGTATATTGAAACTTAAATTGAAAAGTTAATGAATAATAAGCAGCAACTTTATATGCTATATTTGTTTTTTGAAATCGTTCTGATAAACATATAGGACATTGTATTGCTTCACTATATTCACCAGTAAATGCTATACAAAAATTGATACACATATCTACAAATAATATATCAATATTAACTAAGCTTTGAGAAATTTTTTCATGAAATATAATGTTGAATTATCACAATTAAAAATTTGTAATATTTCTTTAAAGTTATTATTTGAAATATGAGGATTCTTTGCTTTTAAATATAATAGTTGCAATGCTTTAAATATATTAGAAAAGTCTAATTTATTAATAATTAAATTATTAAATATATAAGTATTAATTTATATAAATTTATTTACTTACCTTCAATATTTTGAACTAATTCATCTATACTAACTATCTGTTCTTGCTCTAATTCCAACTTTTTCAATTCATCTAATGCTTCATAATTTAATTCCTCATTATTTATATCTAATTTATTATATTCATTTAATTCTTTACATATATCTAATTCATTATATTCATTTAATTCATCACATATATCTAGTTTTTTATACTCATTTAAGTCATTATTTTTATTTAATTTTTTATTACTATCTAATTTATTATTTAATTCTATTATTTTATTTTGGTTTAATCCTGTATGTTGAGCTTTTTTTAGTTTATAAGTTCTTCTTATTTTAGAATATATTTTTTTGATAATAACATCAGTTTTGTTATATAAGTATTTTTTAGCTTTTTTATATTGATTCACAATTCATTTACTAAGTTTTTGACCATGTATATTAATTATTAAACAGTTCTTGTATTTGCAAATTTCTTTTTGGCTAATCATTATTATATAGCAAATTGTTAAGTATTTAATCATATTAGAATAATTTTAAAAATTTAAAGTTTATTATATATATATCGATATAATTTTATTTACATATCTATATACAGTATAAATTGTTTATTACACAAAGTACAATTAGAGAA